AAAGTCGAAGAAATAAACTTAAAAGATTCAAGTGTCTAACAAGTTGATGAGACATTAACTTCAATTCACTTCTGTGTACTCGTCATGAACTGTTCATGAGAGCACCTATTCCTTTTCCTTCTGTGCATACAAACTATAAATCTTACTAAATCATACATAAAAAGATTAATTTCCACGTAGCTTAATATCAAAAGTGAAATTAAATCTATTCCCTTGACGTAATCGTAACGAAAAATGCGTATAATTTTATTTCAATAAGCTTACTTATTTCCTTCTATAGTGGTTTACAAAAATATGAAATAGAAGATAAGTGGGACCTAACTGACTATATCATGTTTGTTGAACTGCATTAAAAGTATTATTAATAAGTCAGTTGACAATCTTATATTGGAACCACTATGCTTTTCAATCACAATAATGATATATCTCATGCTTTCTTTGGTTATTCACTTTTTGGGGAATAAATTACCTGTCTTTTCGTAACTGATTTCTTTCTTCTGAAAATGATGCAAATACGATGCATGTTAATCATTTTAATGAGAATATTGCATCAAAAACTCTGTTTCGGAGGGGGGCGAAAGGGAGAGAAAATGTAGGACAGGGCACATGATACCCATACCTGTCATAACACTCCTTCATACTGGTCATATTCAAGATTTTACTGAATAGTATGCTCAAGGTTATTTTTAGTGTTTTATACGCCTTAACATTTATGCCTAAAGTGTGTGCATGTTAGTAAAGGCACAAATCAGAAACATATGTACGCATTTCCTCTAATAGATTTTATCTCTTCTAAATACGTAATAATGGTAACATCACTTCAACAGACCTATACATTCACTTACTCAATTACAATCAACTTTTCTATTCCGGCTTTTTTCTACCCTAAATAGACACATTGTCAATGTCTTTTTCTGATGTTTTGCTGTTTCCTTCACCAATCATTATTTCAATAAAATAATATCAGATTACTCGTTCACTTGTTTTTTCTTAATATGTTAATGCAGAACATTGGTGTTACCATAGTTATTAGTTGTGAGAAGTGTGTTCGCTCCTTCCTAATGATGCATATAGAAAAACGTAGCTAATTCCCATCACACAAACTTGAAAATATAGATACTGCATTTGCAGCTCACAAACTGGAGCCGCAAACCTTAAATGGTATTCCAAAATGTTGTTCTATTTCACATTTAATTTTCTGAGCATACTTTTGAAGTATAAGATCCAAAAGACCTCACTGATATTTATTTTGTTGAAGAAAGATAAGTATTGCAACTGAAATATGTGAAATTCTCCTTGTATCCTGATGTAAGAAAGAACTACGTAAAATTTGACGTGCTACTATTTCCTGATAGCAAATTTTCCAGCCTTTTCTTGGCAGTGAGGCTTTTATTTCACATGTATGATCAGCTCTGCAAAATACTTAAGCGTTGATCAAGAAAAATGAGTGAATAATTTACTGTCTTCTTAATCTCACATTTGTATGAGTGAATGCTGCAGTTGTCAGTACTAGAATGGCGTTTTACACTTTAAAACTGAAAATTATTTCAGAAAAAATCAACATTTTAGGAATTACGCCTGAGATGTTAGTTTTAAACAGTCTTATATACATATAAATAAAGTTGACACGTAGTGAACTAACTCAAACTGTAGGATTTTCGAAATTAACTTGTTAGCTGTGTGCGCTTTAATCGCTAAGGCATATGGCAACGGCATAACTGACCTCATTCATAAAGTTAAACTATGAGTGTTGATATATAGTGTCAGAATGTATTATATAATTAGGGTTATATTGTGTGAGTCCAATATATCACATAAACTTACACATCGTAAATACAGACTAGTGGTGACCAATCCAAGCATTTTTAAATTACAGCCTTAGTTATAAAGTCCAGTAAAATCCGCATTTATTCATCTCCTGATGACTATTAGGCAAAAGATGAAAAGGTACGAATTAATGTATAATAAAACTTGTACAAAACACACAAATACTTGCGAAAATAAATTACAGGAGTGAGTCGACTAAGATTATTTACTTCATATCGGGCTTATGAAAGCTAACATGATTACTGAAATTAGTTATTACTAAGAACGATGTAAATTTCATAAAAAAGTTTCAATAACGCAGAGTGATTAGCAGCAAATCCTATTTCTTTGGTTCATTTAAGCTGAATGAAATGTGTGAAATTTTACTTTAGTCGCTATAAACACCCAAAGTTTTAATTAGTTACTCTCAGTCATTAAAAACCATGTTATGAGACAAAGATACTTTTAGATGTCACTGTCATCAGTCCAAATCGTTTAAACCAACTAGATAAAGTACAAGATGAGAATATACTCGTACTTTCCACTCGGCAACACTTGTAATTGATTTGGAAACCTACTGAAAGTGGCATTTTGAATGATGCCGTTCACTGAGAGTCTGAATAATTTTGTTAAAACATCTATTACGCTAACAGATGTATTACTTTTTTGGGTATACTTCCTTCTGACACAGACAAAATGGTTACCTTCGATCAGAATATAAAGTGAGAAAATATCATTTAAGGAGACATAATTAGTTTCCGGAAATCCCTACTTTTCGTAAACGCTTCTCTTTGACACCAATTTCAGTCTTATTTTTTAAATGTGTTTGCTTTCAAAATAGTGTTTTTGGTGCATGTGGTTTGGATGGTTGAAAGCTTATGATCATTCACAAACAACTGTATTAATGTGATGTTGGTTGAGATAATGAACAATTCTTAAGTTAATTTAACAGATATATCTTTCCTCGAACTTTTTCCCAAATAAATCTAACGTCCAAGTATATGAGACCTTGTTTCAAAGCCTTTAGAGTTTAATGTAACTAAGTGAGAAAGAAAATAACCGTGTCACAAAAAAGTGTTACGAAAAATGTGTTAACAAGTTAGCAAATATTATTATCACTCGTTATCACTCTTGTATATACTCCAGATGAAGAGAAAATCCAGTCCTGAAAATCTTTATACAGGGCTTAAGGCTTGTGTTTACAAATGTATACAAAACGATTGTGCTATAGAAGAGTTGCCATCTGTTTATGTTCAACAAACATTTTAGACTGACTTCTTAAACACTGCTAGTGGGTTATTTCTTAACCATTATTTAACAGCGTAGTTATTTCTTTGTTATACTACATAATGCATACTGAATATATGGTAAAATAAAGATATGATTCTTATTATTTGTGACTTTTTAAAAAAGTAGTTTTGCACAGAATTATTCCACATAAAGATTTACTTCATTATCCATATTTTCTGGATATTCTATGATGCGAAACACTTATTTAACTTTAAGAAATCAAGTTTCTTCTAAAGGGCATTACAGAATGAAATAAATATGAACTCTGAGGGGATGTGAAGGAAAAAGAAAGTAATTTACAGAAGCAGTCACTATTTTCTTCATTCCGAAATGAATTAGTTATCACTATATCAATAAATGTAGTTACAAAAGTAATATAATATACCATCGTTGTGTGGAATAAAAATCCAGTAACTCTAGACTTTCAGTGTTGCTATTTTGTTACTATGGTATCCCTTACTTGATTTACCTCAAGTAAGACGCTAAAAAAGGCAAATTAAACACAGTGCACTTCTCTCTCTCTCTCTCTCTCTCTCTATATATATATATATATATATATATATATATAAAGCAAAATAAGAAACAACCATACCGCACTTGTATACCATCTAGTGACAGTCAATTAGACAACCCAGTTTCCTGTACATGGGATTAAAATTGAAAAGTAGATTGAGAAAAGATACAAATCAGAAGCATATATTTGGGTATTGAGGGGTTAAAAAAACATACATTTCATCATAGGAAAAGATGAATGAGAAAGAACTATTCTGTTATAAGAAAAATGGAAAGGACAATCTCTACTTTTTTGGTATGATAAGAAAAACAACTAATAATTGTTTGACATTTTCCTCAAACTAAATTCCGGTTCATTCACATCAGTTTATATATCTTTACAATGCCTTCTTTTACTTTATCTCCTCCTCTACTTCACATATGCATAACAATACTATGGTTTTTTCCAGTTCTTTGTTTGTTCCAAGTGAAATGAACTTTTAAAAGTTTGGTCGCAGTAGCTATAAGGTGTATATCATGATATTACTAAAGTAGGTTGAAATAATAATATGAGTGGACTGAAGTTTCGTTTCCTATTTTTTTTCTAAAACAGCAATCTACTGATTTATATTTTAATTACAGAAATCAGTTAAACATTCTCTATTTCTCTTACTTTCTTTTAATTGTAATCATTACTGTTATTACTATAGTAAGTAAGAGAATTTATATTTATATGTGTTCACCATCCCTCAACAACGATACTACAGAATATCACTAAACTGAGTTTTCCATACCACATTAGTACAACTGCAAACATATCTAAGAAAATAAAGAACTAGAATAACTGATTGTAGCAGCAGCATTAGTAGTAATAATACTGATATCCGGTTTAATGTTGTTTGGGCTTTTATTAGTTTCCGTATACCGGTATGTCTATATCTGCATACACAGTGTATGTATGTGTATGAAAATTTATATTCGCGAAATTCTAGATACAATAAGTTATTGAAATAAATTTGAAAATAGTCAAATTGACCGTAAGTATTCAAAATTCATGTAGATTATTTTGATTAGACTGTACAGCAGTTGTATATAAATGTAATGAATGAAAGAAAAAATCTAATGATAAATGAAGAAAACATATTCTGAAAACTCAGTTTAACATATAAGGAATTCTGTGTAGTTCATCCTCTCTCTACTGCATCCTTTTAGTTTTCTCTTCTATTTTTCTAAAGAAAATTAGTACAGTTTCTAACAGTATACCACTTAATTACTATTAGATGAGAAATCAGAAAACTCTACAGCATTGTTTTCATTTTGTATCTTGAAGTTATTTAATGAAACCTATATGTGTGGTTTTCTTTTTTTTGCTTAATTCATAAACTGATATGCCTTTTTGTTTATTGTCACAGATCTTCAAACAACATTGTACGAGTCAATCAGTGTGGTCTATTTGTATGCATGACTGCATGCAAGAAATACTAGAGGAAAGATGTCAATGTCAATTGCCCGGTTTGTTTTCTCTGTTTTATTTTGATGAACAGTTTATACATTATTTTAATTAGGTTTCACTTCTAGAAAATATTGTTACTGACAGTAATAGTATTAAGGGGACGTCACTAGAGAAAACAAGTTCCAATCACATAGGTATAACATATGTTTATAATTTAACTTCACCTCTGTAAGCCCAAAAAGATTTTTGCACAAATCATTTTCCTTAAGAATCATGTAGAATCAAATAGCAATTACCAGACATGTTAATGTGTACTGACAGAACACATAACTCATATACTAGCGATTGGTAAATGCAAACCAAACTTTACTTCTATCTAGTTGATGCTTAGCCAGTATGAGTTGTCCAGCTGTTATATTGGAAGATGTGAATGTAATCAAAAACCATAAATTGCTGATTTGGTTAATCAACATCAAAATATGAATTCCCTTAAGTGTATTCTTAAGCTACTAGCTTATTTATAAGTTAAGAAGGATTATATTTCGCAAACGTTTCAACCAGTTTTTATAACAACTGCTACTGGATTCATTACGTCATCATTTAAATGCTACGAATTTGGAGAAAATCACTAAGTTATGTTGAAGTACTTGACCAAAGATGAAACGGACCTAATTCCTAGAATCTTAAAATGGTGATGTAGTGTCAATCCAGCTTCATAGACTCAAAATTCAGCATCAAAAACGGCAATATATGAAGATTTAATTGTTGGAAGTGTTCTGAAAGTGGATTTTATCTTTGCTTTATTCAGTTTACTCTAGTTATTTTTAGAGGCCTGATAAAATCTGTTGAGTCTTGAGTAAAACTAATACCCAAGGGTAAACTGATTTGCATAGTGTTACACTTAAGTAGTTTCTCACAAAAATTGATCACTTGAGTTTTAATGACCATATCAAATATAATACTACAGTGCATCTAATATGAACACTGCCTCAAAAAGTAGCTATTTTACTGCATGCATTAACAAAACACTAGTGATTTCTACTAAAATTGGACCAACTGTAACATCAGTTTCTGCATTTAACAAAAACTACTTGTTTAGGCAGTCGGAATCGCTCGGGTTACTGGTTTATGCTGCTATCATCTTTTCTGATCGTTTAAAATGCACGTTGTGAATCGATATGCCATGAGATTGGACAGAATGGTACTTGTTATTTCTTTGATTATTCTTTTGATGTTGAGAATCAAAGACTTGCAAGATCTAGTTAGTGGAGCTGCTTAGCACTTACCTGACAGTGGATTGATGTACGCATGTTATTGTTACCGAAAAACGGAACAAGTTAAATCAAATTTCCTGCATTTTTCAGAAAATGGCATTGTAAACTGCCATCATTTCCCGTCTTTCTGGCTTTTACATTTGACTTATTCAAAAAGCCACTTCTGCATTTTTTATTTATGTTGTTATAATTTTAGAATAGGTATTTCTGTTTTAAGTACTGATTAGATTTGCATAAGTTTCAACGCTACTTTTCAGTTTCTAGTGTTTCTCTGTATCTACTCTCTTCTCATTTTTCAGTTCTACTTCACAGAATATTCAGAAACCTCATCCATAGATTACTTTATGAAACATGTTTACACCACCACTATGACATTTACCTTTTCTGATTAACTACCTATCTGTTATCTGTCACTTGGGTCACCATATTTTTGACAGTTCAATACAAGTACGTGCGTATACATGTGCTAATCGAGTGTTTATTGATATGGGAGAGGATTTACACTGTCATCAGGTAAACAAAATCCATGGAAAACTAGTGAATGCATAATAGCCTCATATATATATGAATATAAAAGTAGTCGACTTCATGAACAGAAAGAATCTCTGCTCATCTACACTTACATATAAGTTTTGTAGCTTCGTCCAACCTCAATCAACTCTTTATGACATTTAGCGACATCATCAACGGATTTTTCCTGAAAGATTTAGCACGTTGTACGAAAGTTATTATTTACGAAAGATCTTCGTTAATCTTTTCTTCTCTTGTTCTGTGTCTGTTCACTTTTTCAGTTTTACCTTAGTTTATGGCATAAAAGACACTTAAATGTAGTCTGTATTAGAACGTAGTTGTATTTTAAATTACCTTTTTTTGTTATCAACAATCATTCTAGTTATAAGTCCCTCATTTAAAAATAATGATTTCACATCACTTAATCAATAAGAAATATTGATCTAGTGCTCCATTGGAACATTTTACTTTTTCATTTTCTTTGTCTATTCATTCATCCATTCATCCACTATCTCTATTCTTCTCTTTCTTCCTTAACAGATGAGATTGTTTCTCGGCTTTTTTCAACTAATCTGACACATTTAACGTGTTATCCTGTTACCGTGAAATGGTGTACTTATATATCTTATGTGTAAAAACAATCCTCATTAGACTAAGTTATGCTCATCAAAAGCATTTACGTTCGATATAGCTTATGACACTATCTATAAGAGGACATTATCATTTATCCCGCCTTATGTTTAACTACCATTAGTACGACAGTTGCATTAGTGCACATTAGATTCCTACATTATAAAGTTTTAAAATATTATCGGTTTAGCGATATTTCTTCAGATTTCCGCATCATAAATTAGCAAACAGACTTCTTCATCAAATGTATCGATGTTAGGGGAAGAATAGATTATAGATTGTAAAAATTCATAAATATAGTGTTCGAATGATTCATGACATTAATGTTCATTTTATATAATTTCGATGAAGCTTATGAATACAAACAAAAAAGATAGTAACATGGAGAATATTATTTATTTTTGTGATATTCATTACACACATTATCCAAAAAGTCATAGAATTTCCATTGAGTTAACTTTACTGTTAATATCAAACTATTCCCAACCTCTCATTACAATGTGACTTTAATTTCACAAATCTATTGGAGCCACTTCTTAAGTTATACTAAGTTGAAAACGTTTATCGTAAATGCTTACATATCGTCAGGTGCCCATAGATTTATCGATAAGGCCAAAAAGACGAAAGCATCTTTGCGGTGAGTGATAGGTGAATAGACATGAAATTTCTGTAGCGAGAGGCGGAGGACTTAGTTCCTGACCAAGTGTCAGTGAGAAAACGTGACAAGTGATTTACTCTGGTTACTCTGAGAATGACCAAACTGAGTATACTCACATGTGGAAGAGTTATTAAAGTGCTAGATTAAAATTTGTACTTGGCAAAGCGGTTACTTAGGATCTTATTTTTCAGCTCTCCGCAGATCTTAACAATTCTGTACCACTTACTTTCAGTATAACAGCCTCCAGCGAACCGCTTCATATTTTTGAAACCATTTAACACCATGTACGTCATATGGGAGATAGCTGACAGTAATCCGATTCTAAAAACTAATATCTTTTCTTCAATGGGAAATGTTTAGACACTAGTCACGCTCTTGTAGGTACAAAGATCTTCCCTCCTCTAGGTGATGCTTGAAGTTCTCATAATAAATAGAAGAATGTTAATAAACTGGTTGCCTATATTGTATTAGGCGGGTTCTGAATAAAGACTGATGTCAAGTTGTTGACCCATTTCAAATACTGAAGTATAATGACTGTCATTGTCATAAACCTAATGGGCTATTCTCTTCATAACTTTTTAAACACTTGGTTTTGTTAGCCTCCTGTAATTTTTGATGCCAAATGGTTGATTATCCGGAAAAGGCTGTTCAATGACTTTGAATAAACCGCTCATGCAGTAATGCTAAGTAACAACAACCAAAAACCGGTGGTTGCATTACACAACAGCAATGAGAAGATTCACTGGGTTAGAAAATGCCTAGATAGACATTTAGGTGGATGGCAAATTGATCCATGATAACTATTTGTGAATCAGCATAGATATTTATATTGTATTCTTTGTGCAGTCGAACTGCTAAGTAGTTTTATTAAAATTCCATCTTTTTGTCATTATCGAGTACTAAACGTAGTCAAAAAGTTAGCGCAACTTTATAACTCCACAATTGTTAGTAAGATTCTCACAGACAGGACTAATCATAATATAACAGTGATCTATGCTTCATGCTAATCTGAAGCTTCTTTATGCCAGATGCCTATTTCTGTTAATTGTGATTTTAAGAGATTTCTGTAATTTTTCAACACTGTCTTCATGGTTATAATCGCACTAATTGACAAAACTTCGTGTAGGATTTTATGTGTGGATGATGTGCTTGAGCACTAAGAAGATTATTATGGAGTTCATCATCTTATTTGATAGTATCAGTCATTTTGAAGTGGACAGTCTCTACACTTTTCACACTGAGTTCTCTTTGGAGACTCTAGACCTGAAACACAGATAAACTGTACAGATGTCAATTTAAGACATGAATAAAAAACAGATGCGCCGGAATATGAGCTGTTTGTGCATAATACGGTTCTGGAATGGGTCTACCAGATAACTCATTTCATTGACCTCATGCATTGAGAAAAGTAATTTAGAATTCTTCAGATAAAAAGTATAATGAACTCTTTTACAGGTGCTAGTTATTCTTTTCTATAGTTGCTGATGAAATCTGACAGGGAAAATAAAGAATAAATGAGTTCGCTATCCATCTTTTTGTTGCTTTCGGTTAACTTTTATTTTTGTTGAACTTTATTCAATCCTGACTGTCTCATATCTTCATTCTGTTTTCATTTCATTTTGTGTAATGCAAGATAAATTTTCCAATTTCAAGTGCATAAAATAATGATGTCTATCTGATTCGACAATTTTTGTATGATTACTCAGTTGGATTCTGTACTATGCTGATGTATTCAAGTTTGCTTCCAGTTGAAAATGTCACTGATGGCAGTATTTTACAGTTACTGTTGTATTGTTCTAACATTGGCACTCTTACGCTCATTTTGAATGAATGTGTATACTTGAATTATTATTAGGATGTAATGAATTGTTAAAATGGTTACTTCTTGAAGTAGATGCATACTTCACCGTCTGTTGAACATTTATCAAATCGATATTCAGTTATTAAGCATTAGGATCTGTGGAAGAATAATCTCTGAATTTTGATTACTGCTATTACTACTACTGAAACGTCAACATTTGTAATCAGTCATTTATACGATGAATTAAGGTTCCCACATGAAGTATTTAGGAATTGATGTGAACAATTTAAATTATTTGGTACTGGAAATCTACGATGGTTACGTTAATGTAAAGGATAGTAAAAGTTTTTCAGTTATAAACCAATTCAACTGATGAACCTCTATCTGTTAATATTCATAAACAGACTTATTATTGAAGAAGACAACAGAAAGGAATGATGACTCAGGGCCACAACTGGTGGAAATCAGTTACCTCATTCCTCTTTCATCTTAGTAGTGGTTAAAGGTTTTCACATAAAACAATGCCTTTTTAGTATCTAGTTCATTTTATAATTTCATTTCACTGCAATGTGTTTACTACATGATTGCATTCGATTGCAGGACTTTATCTTTTATAATTTACTTAACCACAAAGCTTTTTTTGCATTTACAGACTGTACCGTCATTGAAATGATGAAATGCGGACTTACTATGACTTCGATGATTGGTGAGTTTTTGGTGTACTAATTTTTGGAATTATTGTATAAAGGTGGTGGAAGCAGATTGGTCAACTGAAATAACGAAAAAAGCTTAGTGTTAATTATGTCCATTGAAAATTCTTTCATTTTGGAATGAATCAGTTTATTATAAATATGTTTGTCAGAAATATTTACAAGACATTCAAAAGATTGATGCAGTCAATAGAAATAGTTTTGTTTGAAGCATTACTAAACCTGGAAATTAATCATTGTGTTCTAAATATCTGTTACAAATATATTTGTTATAAACCGTCTTAATATATTAGAAAATTCATAGAGTTTTACTTCATGATTATGACAGACTACTAAGTAAGCACTAAAGGATTCTCATCTTCATCTTTACCTGTAAATTTCGTAAGCTATTACAGTTCGTGACTAGGTTCCGTCAAGCTGATTATCATATTTGTCCAACTTGCCAGTGATATGGGGAGAGTGGACCTTTATTAAAGCCTATATTTTCAGGTGCACTAGGTCAAGTACCTTATAATAGAAATGGTGATCGTCTTTACGGTATTTCAATCATATTCCATATAAGATTGCTTATTTGATTGATGCAGCACACAGTGATGCAGCATAGTTTACTGGATAACATTTTGAGCACAATTTGTTGCTCATACTTATGTCAAATTAATCATACGACTTCCAAAATCCCTTTATATAGTCCAGCAGCTCATTTATTTACTTCAATGGTAGTAAGATTTTACACAGACTTACAATATGTTATGAGTTATACCTGTTACAAAGATTCTGTGATCAGTCCCGCCACCTAGCCATATCAATTTTAGAATTTTCACCCTATACCACCCTAATAGGTCAGTGCATACAGAGTAGTACCCAAGCTTTCCTTCAAACTACTTATATTAGTAAAATCTACTGTTGTGTTTTTCGCAACATTTTTGTGTTCTGCTATTCTGACTGACCCAGATTGGTTGCTTTAACCTATATACTTGACCTCAAATCACTATATTGTATTTCATTGGTGAAGTTATTTTTTCTAATTGGCTTCACTGGATCTTTATATATTGTCATATTATTATTTGTTCCTTGGGTTCCTAACGGAACAAAGGGCTTCAGTAGCACTTCTCTAATGGGCTCTGTTCTCTGAAGTCTTTTAAACCTGGCTCCATGACAGCCCACAAGCTATCATTTCTTCCTCACACGGTTTCCTCCATGTCACCCTCGGACGCTCAATTCATCGCTTCCCATCTAGGTTCTACTCGGCCTTGATGTCCCTGAATGGTCTTCTCAGTGCATGCCCAATCCATCTCCACCTCCTTCTGCATATTTGTTGAGCGATAGCTTACTGGTTGTGTGGTTGCCAGAAAGAGTTTCTTGTTGCTTATTTTTTCTGGCCATCTGATCTTCAGTAACGAGTGAGCGTAGGCAGTTGTTGATGAATGTCTGTAGTTTGTTGGAAATCCCTATCGTAACGCGCCAAGTCTCTCAACCATAAAGGAGCTCTAACTTGATTGGCATTGGTGTTGAAAATCTGGCTGTTGTTCCGCATGCTGAGTGCAGAAGATCTCCATACTGGTTTCAGGCTAATGAACGCCTGTCTTGCTTTTCGATCCTGGCTCTGACATCCTGGTGTGTGCCGCCTCTAGTTGGAAAGGTGCTGCCTAGGTCGGTGAAAGAGGCTACTTCCTTTAGGTTTCTTCCGTTAATAGTGATTGGAGCTTGTTGTTGTTGGTGGTGTTGGTTGGATGACTTCATCACCTCTGTCTTATCTATATTCACTGGATCTTTAAGCCTACAAAATTCCTCTCTGAGTGGGTTTGTGGGTTTAAATGCCACTCAAATCGTAGCATCGCATTCTACGAGAAATTTCTCATGTGCCTTCTTTATAATATATAAGAGGAGTCTGAAAGTCTTGTGACTACTTCGACATGAAAATGAATAATAATTTCTGCTCGAAACATCATCCAGTAAATTATTCTCTGTCATTGTATGCTGTATCAAATAAACAATCTAACATGGAGTTATGCTTAACCACAGTACCCAAGAAAATTACTTGTAACATTTTTGTACTGTAGGTTGTTCAATCATTTCTTAGGACATTCATTGTTTGAATGGGATCTCAACTTTTGAGATAACACACTGAAAAATTGTTATTCACTGGATTATGTTCCGAGCACAGGCTCACATTACAATAAACATACAACTTTTAACACATGGTTTATATATTTCCGTCACTTTTTATTTACTAGTTTCTATAATACGATTTGCCACATAACTGAAATGAGTGGTACGTCACTTTTGTTGCATATATTCGGTGTTAACTCAATAAAGAAAGATTTGGTAGGCTGTAATTTTATCTTGATATGAATATGAATAAAACATTGTGCTCTTAACGTCATTCAACATTTAATACCGGTCAAACAATATCTTATCTCCAGTAAACTTTGTAATATCTTAGGGAATTCGTTGTTCAACAGCACTTCTTGTATGTATATATGCACACTTGCTTATGTTAAGTGTTTCAGAAAACTAATAAAAATCAAAAGACTAAGATTTTTTACTCACACTGTTTTGCATAAAAATCATTGAAATATGAACAGCAGAGAAAATTTATATGCACAAATGATCGAGCTTGACTCAGTATATCTGTATTCACCTACTTGTATTACCAGGATCAATTACTTTTTTCTAAACCATAATCCTTCTAAAAATGGTATTTTATTCTGTTTGTTGACAGTTACGAATATGACTGAAACAGATTATTAAACTGATTATTAATTATAATAAACGTGTTTGTCTTTTCCTGAAATAGCTTTATTTTTTTGGATGTTTATATGTGAGCTCAGTAAACCAGATTCTGGATCGCAATTTAAAAGATATTAGACTCACAAAGTGCAACAAAGGAAAAACTAATTATTCAGTGTACATCTGTTTATGATTTGATCAGGTTATTATGAAATCTGATATCATCATAGCTACTAAGTAATTACATGAAACAGCATGGATTTCTGAATAAAAATGCTTGAATACTATTAGAACAGTTTCAGAGTGTACTTCGTTTACGAAATCCGCTATTAAAAATTTACTATTAAACTGCTAAAGTAAATTAGACGAAATGAAACATTATTACCGAAGCCTTTTGAATAATGTGAACATGAACTTCGTTTGAATCAAAAGTAGAGAAATATTTAGATCTGCAACCATATTTTAAACAGCCAGAATAAGGAATGGAGATAGTCAGAAATCTATCTTTTCAATGGTATTGGTGAATTTATCTTAAAGTTATGCTACAGTGGTCAAAAGAGATATGAATAGAAAAAAAGATAGATTTTGGTGTTGCCGCATATTTGTTCCGTTTAACACAGATTACCTCAGCACATAGAGTAGCAGATAACTAAGGTATGACGAAGAAATGGAAAGGAAATGATCAACAGTTTTATTTCTCAGATTCCAGTTTTGAAGTTAGCATTTCTATATATACCTCAAACTGATGGTTAGAGACTTTCCTTATTGATGTCATGATTTAGCCTTACCACTACAGTTTTTTCCAACCCAACAACAGTGTGACAAATATTTTGTGCATTGAAGTAGTTGGTGATTAGTTTATTCTGTAAACTGAAGTTATTATACAGTCTTGGAGAACTGAAAAAAAATTTGCTTGTGATATGCATTGATTAGCTGAAGAAGTTCCATGAGGATCAGAAATAATTTGAGTATTGAAACAAACATATGATCAGTCAGTGCAGCTAGTTTGCTTATGGCATCTCAAACAAAGAAAGTCTCATAAAGAAATTATTTTCATTCATTTATCTTTAGATTCTCTTAGAATGGGTATCAAGACATTCAGTCTGAGTTTTCGGTATATAGGTTTTATTTTCTTAATTTCAGAAAATTGTCAGCAGCTTACTGTATGCATTTCTAAACTTCGCGATTGAGAACTGATTAAACTTCCATAAAGCTTTTTACTTAGTAACAATAATCATTTTTGCTAGTCATTCCAAACACATCTTAATCCATGAAGTGTTTTTTGTTGGTTATTAAACAAGTCGTTTATCGCAGAACATTACGTTTTGCTCCCACTGTGCGTAATCAGACTTATAATTTATCACTTCTGTAGACAAATTAAGAAGCTTAAAAAATGCTTTGATCTATGGTTCTCTGTGTTTGTTGACTGGAAATTTGTTTGCCCATTGTCATAAGCTATCGGAGTGAATTTTAACATGAGAAGATTGGAACTAAGTGTAACTTTGCAATCTTGATCTCAATAAGTCAAATATTATTTTTCTAAAATCGATATACCTACTGAATTTCTCGATAAATTCATTTGTTACACAACATCCATGTGTTCCGCGTACACTGTTGAAGAAATCGTTTACTACGACAGGTTTGTAAATTTTAGATATCGTAATAAAAATTTTACCTAATTAGTTGAGCATTAGGTAAGCGGTACAGGAAGAGGTTGAGTGATCTCACTTTGTATAACAATGGGGAATTATATGCGTCAAACCACAACTGATACCCACTGCACAAACAGTAGCTCTTATGACTCAGTGATCTAGTGAATAATGTTTTGGGGTCTGAAGCAATGTGAACTAGGTTCGAGTCTCAGTGGGGACAACATCACCAATTGAGATGCAAGTACATCCAGCTGACAAGTCCAAAATAAACGAAACGCAGGTTCCGGATTCCTTTGCTAGTCATCAACATGAATACAACAGAACGAAGTAGGTTCATTAAATTGCAGTGGAGCAGAAAAGAAACATTTCTGACGTTAACCGATTTCACGTTGTTTTCTGCTACGAAATATGGCAAATTAAACAAATCAATGTTGTGCTGCACTTTCTTTTTGCTTCTTTTATCTACAATTTTCACACCAAATTTAGTTATCCCTAGGCTAATATGGAAAGTTGTTTAGAGGATCAAAACAATAGACGAAATTTTTTAAAATGCACAAATACCATAGACCGCTCCTGTTGATCAAATAATAACACTGATCCATTAAAAACAAATA